GGATGCCAATGGAAAGCTGCATGCCAATAGAAATGCCAATGGAAATCTACATACGTAGGACATAGCATCCCAATTCTTGTGTTCCAGAATCATCAGTATGTAACAGAATAGCCATTAAGGCCATTTTCCATCTATTAATTCATACCATCTTCATGGCATCACTGAGCCATAATGAAGTGATATAAGCCTGTCCTCTTTATTGCTACTTTGACACAACAATAGTTGGATGAATCCAGTGCTGTAAGTCACCAATTAGGAAATGACCCAACACTAGTTTTCCACCACTGATAGGTCAGTGTATTACTTGGCCAGTACTTGTATGTGTGCTTTAATTTTGTTACCTTTAATTGTAACATGGATATTTCTAAAAAGCAGGCTTAAGCTGAAACTAGTTTTCCTCAGCCTGGGGAAATATAGCACCTAGGGGAAATGACAGGGTTGTTTGATTTGCATTAAAAGCAGAACTAATTGGAGACTAAACTGTTATGATTTGATCCAATGGCCAAATAAAGAACACATTGTATAAACTTGGAGAACATTTTGCTAGCACACTTATCAAGGTTTTAATAGCAGAAGACTAGAAAATGCAAGTTACTCACAGGATAGCCATTGAGAGGCTGGAAATACAGGTTTGCATCAGTGATGCATACATGTCCTGGATTAGTTACCAATGGAGTGACCATTTCCGCTTTACATTCCATATGCAGCGTTTCAGAAATGTTCTGAAATCTATACAAATGACAAAGAGAGAATCCGTGTAAGCTTCTACTTATTCCTTATCAGGACATCAATTTTCTATCACACCTTTACATGTATTTTTAGAATATAATATTTATTACATATTATTACTAATATGCTTAGCATATTAGAAGGTATAATCCACCTAAAAACTGAACACATTTGCAAAAGCATTTCAAGATAGCTAAGACCAAATAACCAAGCTTTGCCAAGGAGAACATGATGAAAGCAAGATTTTTTCCCCCTTTCTACATGAATGCAAAAGAATAAAACATGAACCAACAAAGGGTGTCTCCAAGCATATTTTACACTTCTTTGGTTATTATTATTTTGTCACAGAAATAAGCGATTCAAAAATTCAGAATTCATCAGAGTGAGAAAAACATATATAAATAGAGAAAATATTGTATATCAGGCAACACATAGATTCCTATTGCTGATCTACTCTTTGCTTTTCATATTTACCTAAGCATGTTAATTTCTTTTTAGAAACAAAGAGTGAAAAGATGAGATGCCTCCTGAATCAACATAGAGAAACATACCTGTTCTTATCAAATGATGTTCTGGCCAAACGTGACTGTAGAATAGCAGTTATCTGATTTAAAATAATAACAATAATCAGCTTTAAATTTTTTAATGCAAATAAGATTGTCACAATTTCCCCTTCATTAATGCTGCACCTCTACTACATATTTACCATAGCAGCCTGGTCCCCTAGCTTGTCCAGTTGCGATGCTCTGTATAACTGTGAAAAAACAGAAGCAATCAAATGAAATTTAGAAGTTTTCTCAGATATAAGGGATTTGAAGACCATAGATACAGGCAAGACTTGTCAGAATTACCCACTTTGCATTACATTTTCATTTACAGACTTGCATCACAACAGACATTTATTTATTTATTATTTATTAATTTAATTTCTATACCGCCCTTCTCCCGCAGGACTCAGGGCGGTGCACAGCATATTAAAAACAGATACAATAACAATATACAAAAATAAAAACCCTTCTAAAACCAAATTAAAAACCAAATATTAGAGGCTGTGTTCCAATTAAAATTATACTTAAAATCGTCCCTAAATAAAATCCTCCTTAGGTCAG